CTGTTAATGTGGCGAGCAAAGAATATAACGAGGAAAACAAAGCAACCTTTTCTCAATCGTTGTTCCAAAATGTGCGACTATACTTCAACTTCAAGAATGGAAGAAAAAATGTAATCCTTACCAATGTATCTAAAATACAGACTTCAACCCATCTTAAAAAGTGTTATGAACAGGTTTTTTTAACTTGCTTTAACCCTTATAATTTGAGACGCATCTTAAACTTCAAAATCCTTCTCACCATTACTTCCCAAAAATTTGCACAATAAATTCAGAGCTCCATCTTGTTTGATTCTTGTGTAAAAGGATTAGAATAAAATGATCGTATTCTTCGCCGTTCAGATTCATTAATAAATTTTGACTTAACTGACTCTGACTGAATTCAAATCGCTTTGAAAGAACCTTAAAATTGATCCGGAATCCTGGATATACTTAGTAATTGTGAGGGCCATCGTTATTAAACGAAATACATCCAATAGTAACTTTGATGACAGTAATTCTTTATTTAAATATTTACAGCTGACTCATAGCTATTGCTGATTTGATTCGTTCTCAAGGAGTTTGATTGGTAATGGTAATGACGGTGGTGATCGTACCGCAGCCGCAAGTAACACAGGAAGCACAAACAAGCCATGTATGAGACCTACAATAGTGCACATTAATGTCATTAAAGGAACATCAATCTACGCTTTCTTGCTTACCAATTCCAACAATAATGAAAATTGTCTTGGCAAAAGCCACAATAGCGTATGTGGGCACGAAGATTAGCGGCAACATGCATAGGAATGTGGATAGACCCGCCTAAAAACTTAAATTTATTAAAAAAGCTTCGTTAAAATACCAAGAGTACCTGAATCATCGGGGCTGCCATCTCACCCAAGCTGCTAGAGACTCTTTCTAAGGAAGAACCTCGGCAACGATAGAATTGGAATGCAACGTGAGCGGTGTAATCAACACTGGAAATGGGAATATTGCGGGAAAAGAAATTTTTGCATAAAGCTAGTGACTTGTTGGTTTTACGGGGAAAAAAAAACCTTATACCTCCATAAAAATAGAAAATTATGTGAAAACAACAAATCCTATAACTGTAAGTTATCTGCACTAAACTATAGCCATTCTTTGAAAGCTAAGTTTCACTAGGATACTCTTCAACATCTGAGACACAAACCAAATTACACAGCACCTCAGAGAAAACTAATAGCGAGAATTTTTACATGTAACTGTAGTTGTTCCAGATTTTCTGCTGAATTGTGTACAAACCTAAATCCAGTGGCCAAGAGAACGTCCACCTGCGTAACAGGATCAAGATCCGCTCCCCACCATGATAGCAAACCGACTAGGCCTGAAAGAGGAAAAAGTTGAAGAGGTAATTTCTCTTTTGTTGACAAATGCTTTTTCAGTTCCTAATTAGATAAAATTAATAATATCTATAGATTCTTGCTTCAATTATTTTATTTTTATTTCTTGTATTTTCAAATCAATTTGGGCTCTATTGAAGATGAGCGTTAATACGTCAGACCTCAATTGTGCTGACCAAAAAAGACTAAAACCTGTAAGACACAGGAATGGTCTTAATTGTTTGATTTTTA